CAACCGAAAGTTTTGATTATTTTCTGATGTTATCAGGAAAACGCGACACTCACAGTACGATATAAGGTATTGAAAATTTTTACATCACCACTTAGTGGTTCATCTCTATGACTTTAAGTTCATTCAAATTTTAAGTTAAAATTAAAAGGTACGAATTTGAAAAATTCGTAAAACTCCATAAATCAAAAAAAGATAATTAAATATTATAAAAAGTAAGAAACTTTGAAAAAAAAAACTAAATTAGCAAAAGCCACTTCACTTCTCAGCATTGGCCTCCTCAACATAATTTAATCACTACTAAGTAAATGCCATGTGTCGATGTCGAAATAATTGTTGATAGAATTAAGAGAAGAAAAACAACAAATATTTTTGAAAGATCTAAGACATTTGAATAATTAGTATTACCTACAATTATTAAGTACAGAAAGAAATATTTGTTTTGACAGTCCTTAAGAAAGTGTTTAAAAAAAACTCAAGAAGGTTTTAAGGAAATGCAACAAAGTAATAAGTATATAATATATAATAAGTCCCAAAAGTCTTATAATAGATAGGTCCATATAGTCTAGTCAAAAAGTTTAAAAACGTGTTAATTCATGTTCTCGCTCTTAAAATGATGTGCGATAGCTCATTCGATTCGTGATGACGTCTAGAAAAAGGTATCTCGACGATTTATTAGCACATAAAAAATTGCAATTGTTATTAACGAAATAAGATGAAAAAAAGATATTTAGTTTTTCTTTAATAACTTAAAAACTATTAATATTTAAGAACTTTTGAAAAAAGATCCTTAAAAAGGAGGAAATTTTCAATAAAAAGTTTCGACTCGTGGAATTCGATCTCCATTATTTATTATTTTTATTTAATGCCGAAAATAGGACTCCACGCAACCGTTACGGCTGGAGCGCATCGCCGCTGAAGAGTATATCACATAAAATAGTTTTTTATAGTATTAAATATTAATTTAAAAATGTAAAAAATATGGTATCCACAAAACACTTGATTAAATAAAGCTCCTTAGGAAAAAAATTATATCGATTTTTCAAAAAGTTATACGATGGTTAATTAACAATTTTTTTCCTATCTCTGTTTTTACAATTGTCGGACATAAAAGTTTAAATAATTGACCTATAAATTTTTTACTTCTTATATACATACTTAACAAGATCACGTACTAAAAATTTATTGGTTTTATATTTTGTTTGTTATAATTTTTTTAAATGAACAAAAAGTGAAATATTTAATAAAAATATGTTGTTAAATTTTTTGACAATGTAATTATATTGCTATTTTTGCATCTAACAACGATATTAACAAACGCAGGAAAAAAATTACGTCATTTTTTAAGAGATTAGTTTATAAATAATTTATCATTAAATGGCAATTAGGGTTTTTAAAGAAAAAATCTTACTTAATTATTTAAACAATCGAAATATTTAAAAAAAAAAGATTATAAACGATAAAAAATATATTACAGGATTTTTTTAAAGCATCTCTTTATAATGACAATAAAATGGTAATTTTTAAAAAAAATATTTAAATTGTCTATTTTTTATAAATAATTTCTTAAAAAATGACGTAACTTTTTTTCCTGCGGATGTTAATGTCATTAGTAGATGCAAAAATAGCAATAACATTTGTCAAGAAAAACCGGCCAAGTGTGAGTCGGACTCGCGCACCGAGGGTTCCGAACAAATCCGTAGGTATATAAGTTTAAAATTATTAAAAATATTTTTATTATATGATGTAACTAAAAGCAATTTTTCCTTTATCTGTTCTATAATATGTTGCTTCGTACCAAATTTTACGATTCTAAGTTCACTGGAAGTACCCTGTAAGGTTTTGATTCCCTTGCGAATGTCGAAAATTTGCGGCATAAACGGCTGTATCTTTTGATTGCGTTGGCTTAGAAGTTTGATTTTCTCACAGCTCCAAGGGACAGTAGACTTGAGTATTTGATATGAATTTCAGCTTGATACCTCGACGCATTCCTGAGAAATAGGGTCTTGACAGACAAACAGACAGACAGACGGCAACAAAGTGATCCTATAAGGGTTCCGTTTTTTCCTTTTGAGGTACGGAACCCTGAAAAATTAATAACACTTAAAATATATCACTTTTTGTTAATTTAAAAAAATATGTATATAACTAACAAAATATAAAAGTTCAATAAATTCTTGCATGTGATCTCGTTAAGTATGTATATAAGAAGGACTTCGAGAAGTAAAAAAATTATAGGTCAATTATTATTTAATCATTTATAGTTGTAGCACGAATGGGTTGGCTCCACCTGGTCCACGCTCTCGCAGAATACCAGCGTGAAATAGCAGCTATGCGTATTGTGAGTGTAGAGAATCGGGATACCTTTTTCTGGTAACGAAACATTCTATCTTAGCCCTCAAGGGTGACAAGGCATCTACATTAGATGTAGGTTGGCTGGTTTTTAGACTATTTTTTTTTTACATAATAATATTCGTTATGAATTTTTTTATAGAATAGGCGGCAAACGAGCATGCGGCTCATCTGGTGGTAAGTGTCTAGCGACCCCCTTGAAAAACCGCAACACCAGGGGAATTGCAGATGCGTTGCTGGGCTTTTAGAAAGGTGTAAGCTCTTTTCTTGAAGATCCCCAAGTCATATCGGTCCAGAAAAATCGCCGGTGGTAAACAATTCCACAGAGAAGTTGTACGAGGAAGAAAACTCCTAGTAGCGTATTACTTAAGTTGTGGACCGTCAAGCAACCCGATGGTGTGGATGGTATCGTGAATTTTGACGCGATGTGCGTTCGTGAAATTCAGCGACAGGAATTAATCCGAAAAATTCCTCAGAGCACTCCCCGTGGTAGATTGGATAGAAAATGCAAAGGGATGCAACATCCCTACGCAGCGCTAGTGTATCGAGCCGATCAGAAAGTACTCGGTCGTCAACGATTCGAACCGCTCTGCGCTGAATGCAGTCAAGTGGAAGGAGCTGGGACTGGGGTACCCTGGCCCAGAGATGAGAAGAGTATTCCATGTGAGGCCGAACTTACGCTTGGTAAAGTTGCAAGCTATGTGCCGGCATGAAATATTTCTCGCTTTGCTAAGCAGGCCAAGCTTTATAGAGGCCAATTTGGGCTTCCCTTTCAAGTGACCACGAAACTGCGCACTATTAGATATGTTGACGCCGAGGATTCCGATGCTAGCTGAGGCAGCAAGGGTAGTGCCTTTAAACAGAGGAGATACGACAAAGGCGTTCTTTTTATCGGTAAAAAATTACACTAATAATGTCAATAATTAATTAGCCTTATACTCTTTTTTGTAGGATAGGGTGACAAACGAGCACCCAGTCCACCTGATGGTAAGTGGTTGCTGTGACCCATAGATATCTACACCGATCCTAATTAAAGAATCAAAATGCAGATGCGTTGTCACGCTTGAGGACTAAGATGGAATGCCCCTTTTCCAGTAAAAAGGGTCCCGATTCTCTACACTCACCATACAAAACACAACAGTGTTAGGCTGCTATTTTACACTGGTATTCTTTGAGAGCGTAGTCCTTCCCCAGTCGAGCCGACCAATTCGTGCTACAATTATTTTTAAACTTAATAGTATAAAATCTACCATTTTCAGTAAAACGCACTTAGTACTGATTATGTGATTGTTTAAAACATTTTTTTTAATTATTGGGCCCAATCCTATTGTTTCGCTTTTTACATTTAATATGCTTAAGGGATACTTTACCATGAAAATCCGATCAAACTGGGGATGCAAAAATACTTCATTGGTCTAGCGATCGTAAGTGCAGCTGCTGAGAATGTGGTCCGGAGATTGAATTCCGGGGCAGCACGTAAAGCCGTTGGTCCTGTGCCTGATCTCTTGTCGGTCGTACCGGATTACTATCCCATCGGGGTACGAGAGTGACGGAAAAGAAAGTGTAATACACCTGGTACGGTGGTACGGTAATACTATCTTGCGCAATAGTTAATCTTCATACGAGTATAGACTAGCCGCCGTGATAGGAATTCGACCTGGTGTTGGGGGACATTCTTTATGTCTAAAATACAATGAAAATTGATAGCAGAAATAATGGTATTGATTAACATTTTTTACATGTGTATCGATGATCTGATGATGATTCTAGTTTTACAAAGTTCAGAAGAAAAAAACGTTGTTTGAATATTTTTACACTAACTCTGTTTTTGACCAAAGATAAAAATGACCATGTAGGTAGTAGCAGTGGCACTATCCCATATCGTTTCGTGGATGTCTTAAGAGGCGACAGAAGGTAACTGGGTCAGAAGGTGGGCATCAGCGTCTTTCTAATAACAACGAAGCATGGCAAGTATGACAAGTATCCCACTTGAATCAGCTTATCGTTGTAAACGTATAAAATGTCCACGGCTAAATGTACGTATTCGTTGAAATAGTAAATTTAAGCAAAATTATGATTTCTTATATTTAAGTATATTTTTATAAAAATTAAGTTAAGTTACAGCCTATATACGTCCTACTGCTGGGCACAGACCTTCTTTTATGTCCTGAGATTTAGGTCAAGAAATTCCTTACTTAAATTTACTAGGTAGGTACACACTTTACGGTGTGCATGTGTTTATTTTGTTTATAATTTATTTTAAATTGCCGAAATCTCAATTCCTTTGTAGCACCTGACCTGACCTGGGAGGAACTACTTTCTACTTCTCATAATTTTTATGTTTTAGTACAGAATCAAATTTAATCTTATGTCCTATCATTTTGAAAGTAAATACTGTATTACGACAAAATTACCATAAACTCATTGTAAGTGAAGTGACCGGTTTTGGTATGGAAACAACCAACTTCATGAATTATTTATTAATAATAAGAGCGTAATAATTTTTTACTGTACTTACATGTTATTTTGAACGGAATATTACTTAAAGAGATTTATTGATTTCATGTCAATAATTACGTATATTCAATTCACAAAATTCAATTCGAAATTACAACGAACTTGTAAAAAAATGTAAAAATCGAACATCTCACCTTTTATGTCGTCAGTCGTGTCGTCGTGGTTTTCCTTATTGGCTTGTATTTTTTCTATGAGGTGTTCTAGCCTACTGCTGTTGCCTTTGAATAGCATGATCATATCGCCTACAGAGCCTTGAGGAGTTGCGTGCTACGAGCGAGCCGTGCTCCACTCACCTCCCGCACTGAGCCGCCACCGCCGGCCGCAGATTGTTGCAGGTGCATCGATACCTGTTTATTTTGGCGTTTTTTGCGTGTACATTTAGCGCGGGTGCGAATTAATGCGCGACGCGTGTCCGACAGGTGCCGCTAATTGTAGGTTCGCCTGTCGCTGGCTGCACTTTGTACGCTTTCTTCACGCCAATTATTTGGGTGGCTATTTAGGGCCCAGGTAATTGTAGTTGTTGGTGGCACCTTTGCGTTTCCCTTGCAGGTGATTCGGACGTTTGGCGGCGAGTTGTCAGTCTTGTATAAAACGTGTGTCGCGGTCGAAAAGTTGGTAGCGGACGTCAAGATACAACTCGTAGTTTCAGTATGCGCGCGGGCGTAAAGACGAGCGCGATGCGACTGAGGAGCGAGGCCAGTGGGCGCGCCAAACCGTGGCTGCACCTCGGCACCCTGCGCCCCGCCCGTAAGACCCGCCTACACGAAATTCCCTCCTACTAGCACCCACACCCTCGTAAATTTAAACCATTTAAAGATATTAAATAAATATAAACTAATAGACTAATTATTATTAAAGGGTGCCGAAAAATTAAGCTGTAGGTTCTATTATGCAGTAAGACGTTTAGACATTTATATTAACTCACAAGAATTCCTACCTACTTTAATTAATAATGAATGTCACATTCATCATACACAACCTTAATATATTACCTGTGATAGCTTTAGAAATAAAAGTATAATTCCCTCCACGCCGTCTCCGTTGTAATCAATCTTTAACCCATCAACGTGATAAGCCTTAAGTAAAACACGGGAAACGCGAACGACTGCGGAAAGATGCTAAAAGCTTTTCAAGCGTTGAGGAAAATTTGCAGGATGCTTCCCCGTGCCCACCCACGGATTGGACGCGACCAATGGGCGCCGACCCCTGCGCCCCGCGACTCCCCCGCTGCTTCTCTATCAAGCGCTCTTTATTTAACTTCCAAATGCAACCTCCTTGGTAACTTTCAATTAAGTTGCATGCATGGTTAACTTAAAGACTTAATAGTCGTTTAATGTTTTGACTTAAGAGATTCACAACACCCATTTAAAAAAATGCTTGAAAGTCATTAAACAATATAACGTAATATATATCACCAGAGCAATTGGTTAACAAAGTTTTCCGAAGAGTATTTAAGGCTTATTTATTTCAGCTTCTAAATCTTGCTTTTATCTTACAAACCAGAAAAACATTCAAGCGTTTGTAAATATTTGTAAACATATCTAAGCAATTAAACTTTAAGGTATAGTATTTTTATTTGTTTTATATTGTAAATTTAAAAACCGAATAGATTAAGTGCAATGATATACCTACTAATATTACCTATCTATAAACACAAAAGTGTGTCTGGTTAATTCTTGTTTCCCGTAACTACTGGGCAACGGATCGAAATGATCTTTTGCATATAGCTTATCGGCCGTATAGTGACAAGGTACTTCTACTTTTATCCCGGAGAGTTTACACGATTCGTGTGTGACAAATCTGGAGCGTAATTATTTCAATTACCTCTTTGCACTGTCTTAGAATTTGATAGCACATTGGCTATGATTTTTTTCAAACCCGCGAGCATAAGCTAGTATTGAATACGTTTGTATTGTTTGTTATTCAAACATTAAGTAGTAAAATTTAAATACTAGCTGCTTCCCGCGACTTCGCCCGCGTGTTATTTGGGTTTTTAACTTTTTTGCGCGGAACCCTAATTCTTTTCCTAAAATAGAAGTAGCCTAAGATACTCCTTGTGACATAAGCTATTTGCCAGTGAAATTCCCGTCAAAATCGGTCCAGCCGTTTCGGAGATTAGCCGGAACAAACAGACAGACAGACGGACAGACAAAATATTAAAAAATTGTTTTTGTTATTAGTATCGTATATACTTTCATATGCATTTAGTAAAAAGCTGTTATTTTAACATTACAAATAGACACTACGATTTTATTTATTTGTATAGATTACTTAATGTTTCAATATTCAATCTATCCATCCATCCATTACAGCCTATAAAAGTCCACTGCTGAACATAGGCCTTCCCCATATATTGCCTCACAGGGCTATTAGCCTATTTGACACGCTTAGCGAGCGGGTTGTCAACCGTAGTTTTTTTTTTTGAGTTGTTATCGGGAAGAAGCTGCTGCCCATCTCCTGTTTCAGTTACCCTCTGTCACCTCTTACGACACCCACGGGACGATATGGGGTAGTGGATATCCTTACACCGCCACTACACGGCATGTTTAAATATTACTTAATGTTAATATTTCTTATTTTAGCTTTACTTGTTTTAAAACTACAATTATGACGTAATATGAAAGTTTAAATTACATTGAAATTATTTAAAGTCGTTACAGTTTAATTGTAGAGTTTCTCTATAGAGCCATGAAGGAATTCCTCTAATCTGTGTTGGAGATTTCAAATTCTCTAAAATATTTTTAATCTCGCAAGTTACAGATTTTGTCTTCACTACAAGTAGGTATACGATAAATTCTATTTTATTTTCCTTATCTGCCCGTGAAAGCCGCCGTAGAAACGATTAGTTTCGCAAGCGTTACGCTGCTGCCCGTAGACAATCCGGGTATTTTACGTCTAGCGTCAAGAAAATATTTATGGCGCCATCTGGTGGAGGACATTTGAACTTTCTGACGTTTTCACTAGTCCCCTCTTACAACATTTTCTTAAGCGGCCCCTACACAGTACTTATGTACTGTGTAATTATGAATGTGATTGTGCAGCCATCAGACGGCCGCTGTTTACTAGGTAATAGGATTCCTTTTCTGTCTGGTAGTCCTTTTAGGTGGGTAGGCGCCACCCACATAACTTATTCTGCACTCAAATAACAGTGCCTGTAGTCCTAAGTTCCGGTATAGTGAGCCAATATAGTAACAGAATGCGAGGCATTTTCATCTTAGTTCTGATGTGACAACGTATCTGTAGAATTTTTTGCTTGAAGTTGGCTACGGGTATCCTTATGTTGTATCAGTCAGTTACGACTTTGACAATGGACTGTGAGATCGTTGGTCAACTCATTTTATCCTCCATCTCTTCTTACTAAGTATGTATTTTATTTTAATAGTGACTAGCTGTGTCCGTGACTTTGTTCGCATAAAATAATATTTAGTAATTTATTATTATGTTTCTCTATTGAATTGGATTTTGTATACAATTTCATGAGTTTTTTTTGCACAGAAACAGAAACAGAAGTTTTTTTTATTGAATATAGATTATGAATAATACTTATTGAAAGTCACTCTTTTGTTTAATTACCACTGATTCGAAGAAAAACCTCTGTCCTGGGAAGAACCAGCAAGAAACCCGGCGGGATTTTTTTTAAATAACAGCTTACAATCATGTAATCACAATTAACCACACAAAACAAATTAGAAATAGCTTGGTAGCTCATTACCAGGTGTTATTATCATCCATAAATTCCTTAATATTATAATAACCCTTTTTATACAAACTTTGTTTAATAAAGTTATTGAACTTGGAGCAGGTTATGTTTTGTATATTTTCTGAGACGGTTGTAAAAGCGTAGATATACATCGCCCCAAGAATGAATTCCTGACTCGGTGGAGTAGAGTAACTGGTACTACTAGCTTGTGTCTATTCCTAGTATTTACTGAATGAATATCACTTATTTTTGAATAACTACCTTTATTTTGTGTACGTACATTACATTTTCATAAATGTATTAAGATGCCAAAGTTAATATATTAATTTCCTTAAATTTTTGTCGGAGCGACTCTTTAGGTTTTAAATCATAGATTGCTTTTATGGCCCTCTTCTATTAAACAAATATAATTTCAGTGTCAGCTGCGTGTCCCCATAGCAAAATACCATACGACATTATGCTATGGAAATAGCTTAAGTAAACAAGTCTAGCTATTTCCACACTGGTAAGATTTCTAATCTTATTACAGAATATGCTGCAGAACTAAGTCTGCTTGTTAATTTTGATATATGGGGGCTCCATTGAAGCTTCGCGTCTAGTGTTATTCCAAGAAAAACGGTGGTGTCGACAAAACTCAGTTCCTCCCCATTTACCATTACATTAGTATTTAATTATTTGACATTTAGAGTCATGAATTTCATACATTTCGTTTTAGTGCTATTTAAATGCAAGTTATTAACATTAAAACAATTTATTAATTTAGATATAGCATTATTTACTTCGTCATATTTGAATAATTGTCGCTTTAATTTGAATATTAATGAAGTGTCATCAGCAAATAATACTATATTGTGGTTATCCCTATGTAAGGTAATCTATACATATAATAAAACTGTAAATAGCAGATGTCTGTACATTTTATATTTTTGTAATAAAAGTGATTGAGGGGTACTAAAAATAAGTAATTAAATACATTTCTACCATTTTTAGAATTTTCTGTCTGTCTGTCTGTCTGTCTGTCTGTCTGTTTGTTTGTTAACGTATCACGTTTAAAGTACTAATTTATATCATAAGAATTGTTAAGGAAATTATAAAGTGTATCTTCGGGTTACATTTAGTCTTTATTTCATTAAAATCGGTTCATTTCATCAAAAGTTATGATAAATATTCTGAAGTATGGGTAGGGAATTTGCTCAACGGTGGCTTTGTTTGAGTCATCAAGTTGATGTTAGCAGCGCCATCTCTCTTCAATTAAATATATACATATAATAAAAATGATGATAACATGTTGTGTCTCTTTCTGTACATTGTATATTTATTTTGGTGACTAAAATCATTATGGGGAACTAAAAATAATTAAATAAGTACATTTTTATAATTTTTAGAATTATCTGTCTGTCTGTTTGTCTGTTTTTATATGAATGCATCACGTCTAAAGTAAACATCTTTTTTTTCAAAGAAATCGTTAAGAAAATCATAAAGTATCTTCAAGTTACATTTAATCTTTGTTTTATTAAAATTGGTTAATTCT